GCTTCGTACAACCTCCAGAATCATGAATTAGCAGCAGTCTTTGATAACTTTTCAAATGCAAAAATACATATTTCCATTGAGAGAACTCTGTATATACGAGTATTCCGATTTTTTGATAATAAGGAATCGTAGTTTTTTAATAAAAAAGAGGAATAGCAGCAGTCCATGATAATTATTCAAATGCAAAAATGCGTATTTCCATTGAGAGAATTTTGTCTACACGTATATTCCGGTTTTTCGATAATAAGGGATCGTAGTTTTTTTAATAGAAAAGAGGAAATTAATAAATAAGAGATTAGCAGAAGTAGTAGAATTATTTCGATAAAATTATTATAATGGTAAGAAATGTTTCGATCCATTAATTCGTATACATTTCTTACCATTACCACAATTGGACCTCGTCAGTGCGATGATTGTGATAACTGTAGTTGGTATAGGTCAAGTTTAAATTAGTTGTGTTAAGCGTTTTTAACCCTTCTTGACGGTAAAACGCCTGTTTCACAGTGCTTCAAGAATGCTAATATCCAGAACTTCCGAAAAAAACGCTCAATTACATTCTAAAACTGTGGTAACATCCTGAAACCCCGATTTTTGCTAAGCCGAGTTGTAGTAGTTGCAATTTTGTCCCGAGATTGTAATAATTACCATTTGGTCCCGAGAATTTGGCTTAGCAAAGATCGGGGTTTCAGGGTGTTACAACAGTTTTAGAATGTTATTGAGCGTTTTTTTCTCGGAAGTTTTCGATATTAGTCTTTTCCGCCTTTAGATGAGGAGGATGATGATGGTGGTGATGTTGTTGGTGATGATGATGGTGATGAGAATGGTGACGAGAACGAGGAGTTGACACCGGATGCGAGAAGTGACTCGATATTCAGTGCCGAGAATGAGGATGATGCTACTCTTGCTGCTTCTGCTTCGCCGAGAAAGAAGCGTGGCATCAAAATCACAGATGAAACCCGAAAGGTTTGTTGGAAAAATGTGATTTTTTCCAATTATACCACTCAATCAGTTTCAAAATTCGGTTTTTATTGCTGAATGTATATAAGGTTAAGTGGAAATTTTGTTAAAAAATGTAGAAATGGATGATAGAAAAGGTTAAAAAAGAGTAAAAAAGGGAAAGATGTAAAAAGAAGTAATAAATCAAGTAAGAAATGTTTCGGTCCATTAAGTCGCACACATTTCTTACCATTACCACAGTTGGACCTCGTCAGTACGACGACTGTGGTAACAATATATTTTTT